GACCACCCATCCTTGGGAGATGCCGGCGCATTGCTGACTCACTTGTTCATGCTATAGGGTCCAGTCTGTCTGGTGAGTTTGGGAGATGTTGGAAGGATTACTTGGAAGTGGGCACCATACATGGATATTAAGCATGGTCACTCAGCATATTTACACTTACGTGGTGTGAATACCAGCACGCTACACTGAGCACTGAAAGTGTGAACTGTATATGACCTTGAGGGTTTTTTTTTCATTTAATAACCATACATTGTGATTATTTTTTGTTGTGGTAGATGTTTCTCATGGTTTTGAATAACACATTGATTTGGTTAGCGTGGATAGCACTGTTCCTATTAGAGGTCTACTGTGCAGTCTTCAAGTTGCTTATTGCAATCTTGTGGCAGTGGCTGTCCAATTTATTTATATGGTATACATTTTCTTCACGTAGTACAGGAATCTGGATTTACTATAGTTTTATCATCGGTCAGACAAACAAGTGGTCCAACTGGAACAAGATCTCTCCATTGGATCTTCAGGCTCTTCCCTGGACACCTCCTTCCCAATGACCCCATCTTTCCTCTCTTCTTTTCTTGGTCCAGCTTCTTCTTCTTTTCCTCTTGGACAGATTTATCATCCCCCATGAGTGCTCTCATTGTCAGGGCCCCCTGGTCCCTGTATTTGACAATCCCTCTTTTGGACCTGGACTGCAGATGGCCACGATAGCAACCTTGTCCCATAAATACTGGCTGCAACTTCAAACTTTCCACCCGGATTATACCATCTCAAGGATTTTGACTTCGTCCTCTCTACCTGGCAATAATTAGCTTTCCATAGACTTAAAGCAGATACCCAGTTAGTCTTCCACTTCACTCATTTGGAAATATTTCTTTCCCAATCCACCACCCTTGGCCATACTGTTTCTCGGTTGTACAGCATGTTGTGAGAGGGTCCTCCAAGGAGGATCCTCTGTCCATATTTAAATGGGAAATGTATCTAAATACTTTGATCTCTGAGGTTGAGGGGAGAAAATGTTTTCGTTTTACACACAAACTTTCAATGTCCTCGTATTTCCAGGAGCTATAAGATTATATCCCTGTAGTACAGGACCCGGCTGACTTGAATCACATATTCCCTTCATCTCCTAAAAGTTTTTGAAGGTGCACAGAAGAAGAGGGCACCTATGTATATATTTGGTGGGGTTGCTGCCTGGATTCACCGTTATGGCAAAAAAGTATTTACCTCCTACAACTGAGTATCTGTGACATTCAAGCTTCTCCTGGGTTTGCCCTTTTGTTATTGATCCCTGGGTCTACTGTATATCAAAAGACAAAAAAGGCAAAAAAGGCGTCTTGAGACACTGTTGGCTGTTTGCATTGTCATCGGCATTGGAAAACTACCTCTTCTTAGCATCTTTTGGAGTGGGCCCAGATACTCAACAACATCATAGCAATGGAGAACTAGTCATATCTTCTAGTACCATTTCCATCTTCAATTGTTTTCAGACAGGAGCGTTCAGGGGAGATCCTCCTTTTTGCAACTGACCAGCCTGGCTTTCCACTGGGTTATCTCCCTATTTTTTCTCCTCCCTGTATACGATCCCATTCATCCCTTTTCACTATGGTCTTTATCCCTCAGCCTTCAAGTTGAGGTGAACTATATTCAATGTAAATGTGTCTTGCTTCTTTCTTTTTTGTATTATTGTTATATATGTAGCGCTACCCCTGCAGGGCCTGCTTGCTAATGCTTGTCCCCAGTGGTTGCCCTGACCTTGCAAGCCTCCCAACCTCTGACATTCTGGGTTCCGGCAAATGTCAACAGTAGGAAATAATAATGCAAGAGACATGATTCTTTAGTAATACCTCTATATGAGGCTCGTTCAAAAGAGTAGACCACAAAATGAAGGTTTAAAAGGTACATCCCCAGTTAACGCATAAAAGCTAAACACTGCTAAAATGGAAATAACCAAATAGCATGTACGACACAAAAACATACTTTGGGAGTATTATCACAGTGTTCTACATATATATTTATGACATACTGTACATCCATTTATTTTTATTCTGTTGTTCTTGTAGGATACGTTTTTTTTCCATGCACATATATCCTTGAAAAAGTGGACTTTGTTCTGGGAAACACTGGATAAACAGCTTTGTGTACAAACATTCATAGTGCATTTTGGATAAACTTTATGTAGTAACAACTATAGGGCATTTTGGAACATGGAATGTATTATATAGTGGGGTAACAATCCCATCAGTGTTATGCATGCTGTAACTTGTTTTTAACCTCATTTAAACACTCTGGTTTTTAATGAAAATATATGTGTAATTATGTTACAACTAATTTTATTTATATATTTGGTGTTAATGCCCTGAACTTTCCACACCGTAACATCCCTGTGCACATTTTGTTTTCTTCTGCTATTTCAAAATATTCGCAAATTAAATCTCCATCATGCTTTCATGGACTGGGCCCTTTCATTCTGACCTAATATACAAACTTGAAATAGCAATAAATTTCCACCCTCCTCTCCTCCAATCATGATGATTACCTGTCTTTCCATTTGTTGAAAATCTGTTATAATCTACAGCCTTACATTATTTTCCTGTGTTAACAATCGACTTTATGGGAACTTCAAAAGAGTTATTAGAGAAAAGCATTTCGTGGCCCCAGGGGTAGAGAACATAATTGTCTCAGCAAAGAGACTTAACAAAGTGGATTTGTTTAAATTTATGGGTGTGCAGCAACAAGGATCCCATACAAATATAAGAGGAATTGTGACCATCCTTATGTTTAAATATATATATATATATATATATTTTTTTTTTTTTTTATTATTATTATTATTTTATTTTTTTTCCCCAATTTTGCAATTTTATTGCTTATAAAACGAAACAAATATTTATCAATGAGGACAGGTTAAAAACCTGGAGAAATGCCTTCCTGTCCCCATAACAAGTGCACCTCTCATTACTTGCATGGGTGTCACAGGCAAAGGAAGTGAGAAAAAATCACTTTGCATGGGGTCACAGACAAAAATAAAACCCTGGCAGATATTGTAATTCTTCCCTAATGTTACCAAAAGCTAAAAAAAAATTTGGCCAGGGACAGGCTTTCCTCTCACCATCCAATACAATAATAAACATTTTGGCTGATGCTAAGAGGTCTCCAGAGTCCCATAAACTGCCAAATTTAAGGAATTAAAAAAAGATGATTGAGCAAAACAGCAAAAAGATCTCCATAGCAGGAGTGGAGGGGCACAGGGGGATTCCACAATTCCAGGGAGGGGATCCCCAAAGGTGTGTACAGAACATCTTAGATCAGTATTTCCTACACATAACTGGCACTCACCTCTCCAGATTCATGTGTCGCTCCAGGGTGGGAACGCATTAAACTTTGCTGCTGGGTCTCTGCCAGCACACATCCCAGTGACTCAGACGGCAGATTTCTGCAAGAAGAATCACTCTGAGCAACCGCAATGTCACACGCTAGTTAAATCATCATGTTAGCCTCTGGATTCTAATTCCAGGTGAGCCTAAACATCAAAGCCAAGAAGAGTCAGACAATATTGTACCTATCCTATCAGGAGATGAAGTACTGGAGTGGGCAACAGCGACATCTGTCACCATAGTAGGGATTCTATGAGCTGCGCCGGTGTGTGACACACAGCGACAAAGAACATAATGTGCCCTGCGTCCTGTCAATTTCCACTTGGCAGGATATGAAACATGCTAAGTTAATATGGGTCACAGTTTCACTTATAACACCGCCCTTGTAGCAACAGAACACACACACAATAATACTGCAGCCAACTGTGGTGACACATCATATACATGACTGCCAGCTTTGCCCATCCAACAGGTGCCATGCCAGCTCTTAAAAGAACATTCCATTTGTAAGGGTTGGCTAGGCATGGAGATATAGATGATAGACTCCAAAGACTTTTGAGTTTATTAGATGAGCCAGACAGCTTTTATCATTAGTAGTGGTGTCTTACTTCACAGTCTAGCCTATAGTTTCTTGTAATTATTACAGGTATTAATATAGCACTGACAATTTACACAGCATTTTACATATATACTGTAAATTGTATATTCAAATCAGTCCCTACCCTCATGGAGCCTACAATTAAAGGTCACTAACTCTCATTCATGCATAAACATATTAGGCCCAATTTAGACAGAAGCCAAATAACCTATGCACATGTCTTTAGACCATGGGGGAGGAAACTCACCCAAGCACAGGGAGAACATGCAAACTCCATGCAGGTGGTGTCGTGGTTGGGATTCAAACCGATGATCCTAGTGCTGCAAGGCAGAAGTACTAACCACTGGGCTCACAGGAAGTAGGTTGAATGAGACTAGGTATCATTCAACCTGGAGGAGAGCCAGCGTTGGAGCACAGAACTGTAAGTTTGCATTAAAAATTTAAAGGAGAGCTGTTTTTTATTTTAATGATTATTTTTATAATTTACACTATATTGCCAAAAGTATTGGGATGCCTGCCTTTACATGCACATGAACTTTAATGGAATCCAAGTCTTAGTTTGCAGGGTTCAATATTGAGTTGGCCCACCCTTTGCAGGTATGACAGCTTCAACAAGGCTGTCCAAAAGGTTTAGGAGTGTGTCTATGGGAATGTTTGACCATTCTTCCAGAAGCGCATTTCTGAGGTCAAGCACTGATGTCAGATGAGGAGGCCTGGCTTGCAGTCTCCGCTCTAATTCAACCCAAAGGTCTTCTATCGGGTTGAGGTCAGGACTCTGTGCAGGTCAGTCAAGTTCCTCCACCCCAAACTCGCTCATCCATGTCTTTATGGACCTTGCTTTGTGCACTGGTGTGCAGTCATGTTGGAACAGGAAGGGGCCATCCCCAAACTGTTTTTACAAAGTTGGGAGCATGAAATTGTCCAAAATGTCTTGGTATGCTGATGCCTTAAGAGTTCCCTTCACTGGAACTAAAGGGCCAAGCCCAACCCCTGAAAATCGACCCCACACCATAATCCCCCTCCACCAAACTTTACACTTGGCACAATGCAGTCAGGCAAGTATCGTTCTCCTGGCAACTGCCAAACCCAGACACGTTCATCAGATTGCCAGACAGAGAAGCGTGATTCATCACTCCAGAGAGCATGTCCCCACTGCTCTAGAGTCTTTACACCACTGCATTTGACGCTATGCATTGCACTTGGTGATATAAGGCTTGGATGCAGCTGCTCGGCCATGGAAACCCATTCCATGAAGCTCTACGCACTGTTTTGTGCTAATCTGAAGGCCACATAAAGTTTGGAGGTCTTTAGCTATTGACTCTGCAGACAGTTGGTGACTTCTGCGCACTGTGCGCTTCAACGTGCACTGACCCTGCTCTGTCATTTTTTGTGGCCTACCACTTCGTGGCTGAGTTGTTGTTATTCCCAGTTGCTTCCACTTTGTTATAATACCACTAACAGTTGAATGTGGAATATTTAGCAGGCAGGAAATGTCACGGATGGACCTTTTGCAAAGGTGGCAACCTATCATAGTACCACACTTGAATTAACTGAGCTCCTAAGAGTGACCCATTCTTTCACAACTGTTTGTAGAAGCAGTCTGCATGCCTAGGTGCTTGATTTTATACACCTGTGGCAATGTAGGAGATTGGAACACCTGAATCCAATGAGTTGGAGGGGTGTCCCAATACTTTTGGCAATATGGTATATTTTATGTTTAAAAGGCCTCTTGCACATGGATGCCTGAACCTGTTCACTGCAAATTCTGGTAATTATCCCCAGCACATGAATAGCTGTGTGTAGTTGTACTCTGGCTGTACAATGGTACACAAGTATAGCATACAAGTGTATGCAAAAAAATAGAAAATGTTCTATTTTTTTGCATACACCTGTCTACTATGTGAGCATTTGTGACAGCACCATCATATACTCAGAGTACAGCCATACACAGCCATAAATATCTATGGGCGTCTGTACGCAGCACCTGGGCTTTCTGAGTGGGGGGAAAAACACCAGGATTTACATTGAATAGGATCGGGTGTCTTAATGTGCAGGAGGCCTTAATTTACAATTTATATATTATATTTTATAATAAAGTAAAGCTAGAGTTGGGCCCTGAAGTTAACATTTTTCTGAAGTTATAATTGGATTTGTTTGGTTTCTAAATTGTAAACATGCTGTCAGAATCTGGTGTACTGTCACATTAAACCTATACGCCTTAGTCTCACTAATCTTTTTCCAGCTACCTGTGAATACTACTGCTGAAAGTCTGGAGAATGAAGTGAGTGATTCAGAGTCACAGCCTTTGATCCTGGGATTAGGAGATTATCTTTGATGATTTGAAGCAGACCTCCCCTGCTCAGGATGTGCCCTGTGTGGTATAGACCTGGCAAAACAAGTTTACTGTCTCCTGCTCTTACAGGTAAATGACACCTTACCACATCTTCTCCCACGGCCTTGGCAGCCCCAACTAAACAGCTAAATAAACCGCTAAAACACCTTGTAAAAGTGGAACTTCCGGTAGCCTTTACAAGTCAGCATGAATAAATTCCTGGCATTGCATAGAATTGCTCCATCATTTTTAACATGCAATGAGTTTTTCTTCTTGGAAAAAAGCACTGTGTTTGATATGCACTTCCTGGCTACAAAATGACAATTCATTTTTCTAGGGAAAATAGCACAATAATGCACCAGCTACACGTGATGCAACTAGGGCAGGAAACAGTTGCCTACTGCTGATGCCATTATTATTATTATACAGGATTTTATATAGTGCCAACGGTTTGCTCAGCACTTTACATTATAGTGGGAGACAATACAGTAACAATACAGTTCAATACAAGAGGGATTTGAGGGACCTGCTCCTTGGAATTTACAATCTAGGAGGGTGTAGTGAGTGGTACAGTAGGTAATAACTGTGGGGGATGGAGTGGTTGGAAGAGTAGAGGATTCCAGTATTAGCAGATGGCGGGATAGGCTTTTCTGAAGAGATAGGTTTTCAGTGATCGCCTAAAAGTAAGTAGAGGGGGCGATAGTCTGATAGATTGGGGCAGGGAGTTCCAGAGGATGGGTGACGCCCTGGAAAAGTCTTGGAGATGAGCATGGGAGGAGGAGATAAGGAGCTAGAGAGTAGGAGGTCTTGCGAGGAGCGGAGAGTACGGTTTGGGTGATATTTAGAGATAAGATCGGTTATGTAAATTGGGGCAGTGTTGTGGACGGCTTTATATGTCAGTGTTAGTGTTTTGAATTTTATCCGTTGGGCAACTGGGAGCCAGTGGAGGGATTGGCAGAGAGTGGTGGCAGATACGGAACGGTTAGTAAGGTGGATGAGTCTGGCAGCAGCGTTCACTACATTCTGACTACAAATACCACTGCAGAGATATTTTACCATTTGAGTCTTTTACAGATGTTTGTAGCACCCCTGTAGGCCGGTCCAAGGCACCCATACTCTCTTCAGAAAGCCCTGCAGAAAACATGGCTGATTCAGGCCTAGCACACAAGCCACCAACAGTCCACAGCCCATGCAGAACTCTGCTGCACAAATACAGGTATAATATATCATAGACATCTTGTGCCCTGAACTCACCTTGTCACCCTTGACAATGACTGTCCTCTGGATGGGGATACTTCTTCCATCAGGCTTGATGTCTTCCTCATGATTACAGGATAAAGATCCTACTCCCATATCAACCACCACCATCCTCTAGCCAGAATAGGTTTGCACTAAATTGTTCCACTGGGATACTATATCCCACTGTCTAGCATTGGCTAAACGGGGTTCTATCTCATGTGACAAGGATATCAGGAATCCAATTCAGACACTTTAAGCAGCCACAGGCTTAGTACAGCTCAATTTTATTGAGGTTGTCCATGTTCACAGTTCTTCAAAGTGCATTCTCTTTCTCACAAAGAATACAAGTTCTCTTTATGTGGAAGTGGAAGTTCGATAGTAGGGGTGCCCATCCTCGAGTAGCAAAGTCACCTCACCTCCTGGAATGATTTAAAGCAGAAATCCTTCTTAAAGTGGCAATACATTAACCGTGGCCTACACTCTTTTACCCTGGAAATGCAGTTAGGGCCAAGTGGCTCAGTGGGCTGACATTTCAGAGCTGGATTCTTGACTTCATGTGGGTTGTAAAAAATTTGGTAGCTTTTGAAATGTCGATAGTGTTTAATTAAACCCATAGAGAGATGGATTTAGGAATCGGATACCCTACAAAAAATAACCACAGACAGACTAAATCCTACTTATAGTGTCACGCTTACCCCTAGCACAGGTGGTCAGGCACTATAGCTGACTTCTGTGTTTTTCACCTGTACCAGCCCCCTTTTCCATAAGGCAAGCAGGCCTACCGTTACTCAGTTGCCCCCAGGACTTATAAACAATGCTATAGCGCCTGGCGAACTGAGCACAGCAAACAGGTACTTGTAATTGGCAAACAGGCAGAGGGGTTCAATGACAGTTCAGGTATACAGCAATCAAGCTTAAGGATAGTTAGGGTCAAATCCATAGCCAAAAGGCAAGCAGAGTTCAGAGAGTAGTCCAAGTTGCAATCCGAAGTCATAAACTGGGAAATCCAAAGAGCAGAGCACACAAACAGGAAGCTTGAAGCATGTGTAAACACTATATCACAAGCATGAGATTGCAGGCTTGGCTGGCTTAAATCAGGTTTGGTCTCCACCCAGAGACTGGCCACATCAATCACCTTGCAGGTGGACAGACAGACAGGGAGAGTGTATCACAACCAAAACTAGAATGCTGGAATGAGACCAGTAGCTGTGATGGAGCAGGGGCGGTACATGCTCTTGACATACAGTCATACAGGAAAGAACCTTTCAACTCTCTCTATTTCAAACTGTATAATAGTTGCAGTACACCAGACTCCTGCAATGTTCAAGCTTACACCTAGCTTAGAGCAGGGTCCCTACATATTATCTCTAATTATCCAGTGCCTACCCAAGTGTGATATATCTGTTTTTAAAAAGAGGTGGCTTTGAAGTATTTATTCCAAGCATTTTTTATGCCCCCACACAGTATTACACAGTAGTATTTTGAGTGCATGCCTATCAGTCCCAGTCCCCCAAATAATAGTACAATCTAAGGTCCATGGTGCATTAGATGGAATTTTAGAGAAGTCCAATTGACCCATCAGAATTTCTTCTGGTTTATTTCTGAATTATGCCAGGAAACAAGAGCACTCGACAGAAACCCAAGAAGACTATTCAATGTTCTGTTTTCTTGTTTTTTTTCCTCTTGGCACTGGGTTGATGCAACATCTTTAGGTATGATTGGAGGGGGCTGCACTTCTCATCGTTCTGTACCCTCCAATGTAGTTCTAACAGCCCTGGCTGTGTCACTGTTGGAAGATTCTCCTTCCTATGGATATACTTGTGCAGCTGTAAGGTTGTACATACTGTAGATGCACTGACACTGGTCCCATTGATTTGACCATGGGCTCTGGTTCCCTGCACTCCCCTGAATAAAACTGCAGCTCTACAGCTGCACATAGATGCACCAACATTAGGCTGGGCCCTATGACCATGAACTTCGGTACCCTCCATACCCCATCTTTAATAAGATTGCAGCTGTAAAGCTGCCTATGATGTGCCTCATACATCTTTGACCTAAAGGTTTCTGCTAGCCCCAAGACTTTTCACATGGCCTCCTACATTTATCACCATCATGAATTGTGTTTTCAACATTTATGCTGGCAAAAGAATGCTGCCATGCTAGTTTTACTCATGGATACCTTTCTTTGTAGAATTTTGTGTGTATGTTTAGCGGTTGCCATCGTAACCTTGACACACGTCCACACCCGCCGAGTGACACTTCCCAGCTCTGCAGCGGTGTATGAATGAACTGAGCTATCCTGATCTCATCCAGTCTATTATGTGACATACAAGGCACCTCTCTCCTCCACCCTGACATGCCCTGTCCATTATAACTCCATAGTTCTATAATCCGCGTACTAGAACATGACTTCACAAGCTTCAGCTTATATAGGAATTGAACAGCGGGTTCAACGATACATATAAAAACATCTAATGACATATGAAGGCTCCATGTACACTGGGAGTTTTAATAACGCTGGTAACATTAGCTGTGTAAAATCACATTTAAAAAAAGTAAGTTTTTCAGCGTTTTGTAGTGTTTTTGCACTGGCGTTTAGCGTTTGGTGTTTTTTAGCATTTTTTTAATGAAAAAAATACTCTTTTTGCTCAAAAAAAGTCCAAAAATGCTGGTTTACCATGTTTTGCTGTTTTTCAGCATTAGAGTGTTTTTACAGCTAAAAATCTTCTCTAGAAACCCACTAGTCCTGGGTTTTTTTTTTCAGCAAAAAAACGTGTCAGCCAAAAAACGTTGACTACAGTCTTTGTGTGCATGGACACATAGGATATGATGCTGGGGAGTTTACTGTCTGTAGAAAAACCTGCCAAAAGCCAAAAACAGCAGCTGTAAAAACGTCCAGTGTGCAGGAGGACTAGTTGTTATTATTTTGTGCCCATTGTGAATAAAAGTTTGCTTTAACCTTTCAGAGTAAAATTATTTTCATAATCATTTCATAATTTCTGAGGAATATTCTATAAGAAAAAATTTAAGCACAGACATTA